TTTTCTTTTTAAAAAAAAAAAAAAAAAAAGACCCCCAGCTGATTCTTGTGCACACTGGGTTTGAAAAGTTCCAGTCTGGTCCATTGGATGGAATTGTACACTGAACTAAAATTAAAATTATGCCAACAATTGTTTTCTGTAAAACATTCTCATATTTTCAAAGGACACTCTCATTTTACCTTGCTTCAACTTGTGCATGATTTAGGACTTTTTTTCTCTTCCACTTATGTCACTTTTAATTTCCATATCATGACTGAAGAAAAGAAAGAAGAAAATGGAGTGCAAGCATAGTTACATCTGTAACCTGCGGTCACTAATAAACATACCAAAAGGATAGGTGGCTGACATGAACTTATTCTAAGGGAATATTTTGACCTTATTTTTCTTTCATTAGAATTGTATTAAACACCTTCAATTCTGCCATGTAATTGAAAACATTCTTTATGTGTATAATTAAATATTCCATTTACTTGCTTTGTTCTAAGGACTCGAAGTTCTTTTTCCTTCCTCTGACAATTTCTTATGGATGTGTTCTCGTATCTTGAATTGGACTCTGCCTCTCTTAGCTTTACCTCTAGATATACTGATGTTAGAAGCTAAATTCTACTTGATGTAAAGTAAGTGTTATTTTTATTCAGCTAATGAACACAGTTAATCTGCTGCAGATGGTCACAATAATTATAAAGAGTTAAGTATTTTAGCAGGCTTAAGATCACATACTGTTTGCCCAAAAATTTTGACACTTCTTTCCTTAAATCTTTACTTTCAAGAATTTTTCTCTCTTGCCTGAAATCTTGTGGCTGCTGCCTCTCAATTCAGCATTCATTTCCTTTGTTTTCTGTAGTACAACATAGCTGGAATCGGACGTTCCTCTGAGGCCTCCAGCTCTGACATCTCCTTCCTTCCTTTTCTTCGATTAGACTTGCATGGGGATGATAATGATGACTTGGAGAAAGAAGGAATTTCTTGGAGTTAGCAGGAATTCTGGAGGAAGCCTGAGCCAGCCTTGTCTGGAAGACAGATGAACTGGCCTCCTCCCTACCCTTTCACCCAGGGCTGTTTTCCATTCCGGAATGATCATAAAGCTGGCCAAGACCTGTCCCAGGCTGTGTGGATGTGGGCACTGGGCGCACGGCAATTCCAATTAGCAGTCTAATTTTATCTTGGCTTCTGGCCAGAGGGCTTCATCTCACTGCACATTTCAAACACCAGAGCCAACGGTCAAGTGGGTTACGGTGGCCTTATCTTGGCCTGCCCCAGAGGTTATGGTCAATTACGTTTGAGGGTCGTTTTCAAGTAAGACAGAATCAGGAATTGGAATGGAGGCTGGAACCAAACATGTGTTTTTATCCCGACTGGGAAATGCTTATCAAAATAGTTCTTAGTTATCAAGTAAGCACAAAGTGCCTGGAAATGACGTTCCCAGTGAGGGGAAATGGCCCAGCTGTGCTTTTTTTGGCTTTCTCTCATCTGCTCAACAGGAAAAATATTAATCAATGGAAAAAATTCTCCTTTTCTGTTAATTTAACACGTGAGTTTTAGATAGTATGGGGAAATAGCAATACCTAATGTTTTTACATCACAATTTTTTTTTTTTTTTTTTGCAAGTTGGAAGTTTCTTTCCCACATAAACAAAGTTTGGAGGCAAATTTCTAAGGCTGATGAAGCATCTCTGCTCTCATCAGGGACCGAGGCTCCTGCTTTGTAGCTCTGCCATTGATGTACCGCTCCCATCCTTTCCCTCTCTCCCTTCTTTACTCCCTCTAGGACTTGTTCCATTAATCATCTCCTCTCTTCTGCACCATCCCTCTCTTTTGAGGGAAGGACCTTATCCTGTAACCATCCCTCCTTGTAATTACTCTTTTACTTACAGCTACCAACTTATTTCCACCCTAGTTCACCACACTTCTTTTTTTAAAATTTTATTTTTGTTTAAAATATTACCGATGTCCCTTTTTCTCCCCATTGACCCGTTCCACCCTGTCCCAGTCCCCCTCCCCACCATTGTCCGTGCCCTTGGGTTGTGCATATGTGCGTATAAATTCTTTGGTTACTCTCTCCCCCTCCACCCACCCGCCCTCCCCCATCCCTCTGACATTTGTCAGTCTCATCTCTGCTTCCATGTCATTGAGTCTATTCTGTTCATGTTTATTAAGTTCTTTAGATTCCACGTATAAGTGAGATCATGTGATGTTTGTCTTTCTCTGCCTGGCTTATTTCACTCAGCATAATATTCTCCAGGTCCATCCATGCTGTCCCAAAGGGTACAAGATCCTCCTTCTTTACAGCTGCATAGTATTCCATGGTATGAATGTCCCACAGCTTTTTTACCCACTCATCTACTGATGGGCACTTGGGCTGTTTCCAGATCTTAGCTATTGTGAACTGTGCTGCTGTGAACACCGGGGTACGTGTATTCTTTCTGATTAGTGTTTCAGGATTCTTAGGATACATTCCTAGGAGTGGAATCACTGGGTCAATACATCACAATTTTATAACGTGGATTGCAAGGAACTTTTTAGAAAATGGCTTTCACTGAAGCCACACATTTGTGCCTCTAGAGATGTTTTAGTTTCTTGATGGCACAGCTGAAAATTGAGGATCTTGCAGTAATTGTGTGTCGTAGGTGAGGGAAGAGGCCTGGTGACCCTCTGTAAGTTACCACTGAGCACACCTTTTCCCCCCATCAACAGGGAAGCAATTTGCAATTCAGTGTTTCCTCATAAAACAAATGAGCAACACTTCTCCAAGGAGATAAAGAATACCTAAGACAAGAGTCTCATAACAGATCGCCATATTTCACTATCTGTCTATGCCTACTCTTTAAACTTTTATTGAAGGACGACTTACATACAACAAAATGCACATATCAGAAGGGTCCAGCCCCATGCATTTTCACTACGCCAGAGACACCAGTGTAACCCTCTCCATGCTTTTGTTCAAGGTGATGAGACTTCGCAAGCTGGCTCAGCAGATTGCAAACTGCAAGCAGTGCATCGAGCGGTCGGCGTCCCTCATCTCCCAAGCGGAACACTCTCTGAAGGAGAACGATCATGCGCGGTTCCTCCAGACGGCTAAGAATATCACTGAGAGGTGAGTGAGTGCGGGGCTGCTGCGAAGTTCTCAGCTGCTGAGCTTCTGTGCCTGGGGTGTGATTGGTTGGCCTTGCCCTGGCCTTGCTTTTGTTTTCATTTTCAAGGCTGAGTACCAGACAGAACAGGCACTTTGAGTTGCTTTGTTCCAGCTGAAGATGCTTCGTTTTGACATGTCAAAGCCTTTTCAGTAGCAGCCTGGAGTTCAAGGCCTTTGAAACAAGAGTCCACCAGTTAGAAAGAATAAAATCTGCCTGCTTTTAGGGGGGGAAAGTTTATGATGGCACACAACCAGCATGCATTGTGACCCTCAGACCTGATCTTATCATACATTTGATAGTAAAGAATCAGAAAGAAGGAAAAACGTAAAAGGGAATCTTTTCTTCCATCTCAAGGCTCATCTATTGGAGAAAAATGGCCCAGGTAGCGTTCTCTGTTAGACCTATTTTTATTGGGTTGAGTGGCTTCACCTCTACTGAAAAGGTCAAGGTCAACTCACATGGGAGAGAAATTATCAACCTCATACGTCCTGCTTTTAAAATACCCTCTTTTCCAGGATAGGCAACATACAAATGATGCTATGTGAATGTTTAGTTCGTTAGTAAAAGTGGCATGGTCAGTGCTCCTTCAGTACGTGTACTTGATCAGCTTAAAAATTAACTGGCCTCGCCCTGGCCGGTGTGGTTCAATTGGCTGAGCATTGTCCCATGCACCAAAAGGTTGCTGGTTCGATTCCCCATCAGGTTACAGGTTCAGTCCCTGGTCAGGGTGCCTGCAGGGGGCAACCGATCGATGTCTCTCACATCAATATTTCCATCTCTTTCCCTTCCTCCTCCTTCCTCTCTAAAAAAATAAAAAATTAATTAAAAAAAAAAATTACAGGCCTTCACTGCTGCAGACACCTATAGTGATTCTAGTGGAGCCAAAAAAAAAACACCTAACACCACCTTTGTGACATCTTCAATCAATGCCAATGGCCTTGACTTTTTATTCATTCTAATTTTCACAGTCAACTGCCCCTTATACAAAGCAGTAGTAGAATCCTATCACTAGAAGACCCCAGATAGCTCCTTCGTGCTGGTCTTTCTCCTATAGCAGGAGTCTGCAAACTTCTGTAAAGGACCAGACAGTAAATACTTTCAGCTATGCTGATTGTAAGGTCTCAGTCACAACTACTTGACTCTGCCATTGTAGCTCTACAACAGCCTATATAGATAATATGGAAATGAATGGACGTGGCTGTGTTCCAATAAACCATTTATCAAAAACAAGCAGCAGGCTAGATTTGGCCCGGGAGCTGTACTTTGCCTACCGTTGCCCTAGGAAAAAAAATACCATCTTAGGACCTGAATTTCTTCAAGGAAGGAGAAAGAAAACTAACATTTATTAAGTGCTTGCTTATGTTGGACACTGTGCTAATTCTCAAAATATCACATAGAGGTAGGCATGGATATTTTCATTTTCACCATTCTTTCAATGAAAGCAATAATGTACAGTATTTTTACAAGCCTCGTTTAGTATCCAGCCAGCTTCATTGTGATATTTGTTATATTTGAGAAAATTCCCTTCCGCAGTGGTTAGATACTTGTCTCTTCCAAAGCACGAGGGTAAGAGCTCACTATCATCCCTTTTATATCCTGAGAATGACCCTCTGTAAGAGAAGCCAGTTTCTTTCCTCATGACTCCTAGGCTCCAAGTGTTTGTGTTCGTGCTCATATCTGGACTTCATCCAGTCGCTTTATATTCATCTGAAAATTAAAAACTGCAAACAGCACTAGTACTCATGTACCCAGGGCACGCTACTAGACAGCGATTACACTTATGTCATGATTTCCAACTGAGATCCATGAGTACTTTTCCTCCAACTATAAATCATGGGATACCCAGATGAAGTGGCCACTATGAGCTGCATTTCTCAGCAATCCCTAAAAATTAGATCAAGTATAATGAAAAACATCTCACCTAGCGCGGGAAGACAATAATGACCTCATAACAGTTAAGATTGAACATTCTGAAAGAAGGCCTGCATTTGAAGTACAACACAAGTGCCTGCACACCCATGTGCGGTCTCCCTCACATACAGCAGGTCGTATCTGGTCCCAGTCAGCTCTACCTATAACAAGGCCATTCATCAAGAATGGAAGCATGACTGATTTCTCTTTCTACAAGTGAGTTGGATCATACACTATATTCTCAAGCCTCACTCGTGTGTAGTTCTGGGTGTGATTATCTGCAAACTTTTATAAATTTAGGTTAAATAAGCAAAACTATTCACTAAATCCAGGCATAAGAAAGTGGGCCTACTACTTATGAGAAGCCTAAACCACCATCAAGTTTGAATACACAGTGCCTGTAAAAACGTGCCAGGAGTCTTTCCCTCTGTTTCTATATCCCCGCTCTCTTCGTCTCTATTTGTCAATCCTCTTGGTCAATTTCTGAGCCTTTCTCTTTTTCCAGCAACTGAAATGCAGTAAAAGGGCACTGGGCTTGGACTAGGAGTTGGGAAAACTGGGTTCAAATCCCAGCTCTGCCACTTCATAACTGTGATTCTTTGGATTTATTCATGAGTTGTTTTCTACTTAGAAAACTGGGCTCATAATAGCTACTTCTGTCAGTAGCTGTGATAACATTGCTAATGACTCGTAAGTAAGAACAGGCCTTAAGCATCGTAGATATTCCTTAATGTTTGTTGGATTTATGTTTTCATGTTTCGGTATGTCAGTAAGATCCTTCCTTGCATTTCTTTATTTTAGTGCTGGTCTCTGTCTGTCTTTGTTCTTCAACAGTTAATGTTCTCTAGCATGTGACTTCTTGGTTCTCTGCTTCATATTGTGTCTACCTTGGGCTTTGGTGCCTGCATACTTCTAAGTCACCTTTACTTTTCTGTTGAAGGGTGGAAAGCCCAGAACAAACTTTTAATGCTGCAGGCCTTCCTAAAGTCAGTCTTGGACGCTACTTTTCTTCATTATTAAATCACTAAGACTAGATTCACCTACAAGCTGCATCAAACTGAAAGGTTTTCAATTCAGAAACATCAAAAAAACCCAAAAGGAGAGAGAGCCTTAAGCTTTACATTGTAGGAGACGCATGTGCTTTGGAATCACATGCTTGGCTCTGTGCTATTGCTTAGTAGTGACTATGGATAGCACTGGGCTGCTCCTTAACACCTGTGAGTAGTTCTGCTCATAAGCTCCCAGCAGGCAGGACCCACAGCCATCTTGTTTTCACCACTGTAGCCTCAGCACATAGCAAACTGCATGACATCAATGAGTGAGTGAACAAATCTATAAAACAGAGCTGATTATTCCTACCTAGTATGGTTGTTGGAGGGAAAAATGAAATAATGCAGTAAAAATATTAGCCCAGCTCCTGTCACAAGTTGAGCATGCAACAAATGCTAATTCCCTTCCTTCCCACTCATTATATGGATGCCAGTGGGTTGTACCACATACCATATTCTCAAACCACACTAATATATAGGTCTTTGGTATGATTGTATATGTATCTTTATAAAATTACATTAAATAAATAAGCAAAACTCTTCACTAAATCCAACAGAAGAAAGTTGGCCTACTTGTGATAAATCTAAAATTAAAACCACTCATAGTAGCAAATTATCAAGCTGCGACACAGTGCCCTTATTTGCCCCAGTATATTAAGAGCTTAACACACATACCCACAAACATGCAAACACATGTGCATGTACACACAGAGATCCATGAGTGTAAAAGCAAGGAATTGAGAAAGTGGTATTTTGGCAATTTATCTGAAAGGCCAGAAGATGGGCAACAAGGATTTGGGGAATAAAAACACAGCCTAAAATGTTGAATTTGGCAGATGTCCTCTTGCCTGTCACTCCAATTAAGAATTTGAAATTGTAGCCAAAGATAAATATCTTTCATCAAAAAATGTGTTGGTGTTAAAAGCTACAGTAATCTCCAAAGAGTCTTGCTGTCAGTCTTTGCCTCTCAGGTTTAGGATCTTCCAGCCTTTCCATTCCTGCTCCCCAAAGTTCCCACCATCCAATGGCAGGCATTTTTAACAGTGTCTCTTTGACCAAAGCATGTTTTATTTAATTGTTTGTGGACCATAGAACCAGGAGAAGCTTAGGAATGAAATCTATTTTGGATGAGCCTTAACAGAGGCTTCTGCCACTGGATGGAAAAAGTGCTAAAGCAAGATTATCCATTCAAAGCAATTGAGATCCTCTAGCCTGTTGAGCACAAGATCTGTGTCACAAGTGCACCGGAGGGAAATGCAGTAGAAAGTTAGGTGCTTATTTCATGATAACGCATTCCAATTCTCCCTACTGGACATCATGAAACAGAATTTTTATTTTTATTTGAGGAGTTCAATTGGCACTATAACATTTATTTGTTTTAATTTTATTTTTCAGTTAGAGTTTACATTTAATTATGTTGTATTAGTTTCAGGTGTATAACATTTCTTTTAACTTGTCTACACTGTTGCAAATATTTTGGGCTCTTCACTACATGGCATATTTTAAGGATTTAGTATTTGTTGAATATTTGTTGAACAATTCTAGGATCTCTCTGAGTTTTAAAGAGTTTTTGTGTTTATGGGTCATAAGGAAAGCATTTTTTAAAAGTTTTTATTGATTTTTAGAGAGAGGAAGGGAGAGGGAGAGAGAGAGAGAGAGAAACATCGATGTGAGAGCAAAACAACGTCCCCTACCCAGGATCAAGCCTGCAACCTTTCAGTGCATGGGACAACACCCAACCAACTGAGCCACACCAGCCAGGGCAGGAAAGCATTTTTAAAATACACTTTGACCATCTGTGAAAAAAATGCCTAACAACTATCCCTTTATCCATTAGTTTCAATTAGCAGTTGTTAGTCACAATAATTAGCCTAATTCCCTTGGGTGGAATATTTAGCAAACAAAATCACAGCTCTGTTATTCACTGCTTCTTAGTAAAAGGGTCAGGTGGTGAGTTTAGATTCTCCACTCACATTCAAATACTTGAAACTCTTCTTTTGGATCCCAATGTCATTTTGACTTTTTTCTCTCTCTACTTCTTTCCCACCACAGCACTGAAAATGTGCCAGAAATTACAGAAACTTTCAAGTTGCATATAGAAATGCAATCATAGAAACTTTATTTCCAAAGATTTTGAGCATTTTACAGGTGTAAGTTATTTTTATTGAAATGAAATTTGCCTAACAAAATTAACCATTTTAACATACACAATTCAATGGCATCTAGTACATTCACAGCATTGTACAATTACTATCTCTTCTCAAGTTCCAAACTACTTTCATCACCCCACAGCCATAAGCAGTCATTCTGCATTGCTCCCTCCCCCAGCCCCTGGCAACCACCAGTCTGCTTTTTATCTCTGTGGGTTTGCCTATTGTGGACATTGGTACTTACTAATACCTTGCTATATGGTTTATAAATGAGAAGTCTAACTAGCACTCCTCAATGAAGAGGAGAAACAGTGCATCCATTGGGGGAATTTGTGAGGAAGCTCATGAATATTTTCCATGCCATCTGCTGGGAATATGGTGCAAGAAAATGAACACAAGGAGAATGAAAACGAGCCGGACAAAAAGTCCTTTTTTAATGTTTATTTTAGAGAGAGGCTAGTAATTGATTAAACTAATCCAATATCTGGAAACATTCTTTTTTAATCTTTACTTTGCCTTTTATGCAGTTTGAAATTTGGGAGACTCCTCTTTGAAGTGGAGCAGAGTCGAGTCTGAAAGGAACAAACAGTTTCCCAGACATATGTGTGAAGAAATGCCTGCAGCTATGTGCTTCTAGCTGGGATTAGATGTGATGGGGCCAGGCTGTTAAATACACAACAACATGAAATATGAATATTCTTTTGCCTCCACAGGGAGGGCTTTTCCCCCCTCGATAGTAAAATGGAAGAGGGAAGCCATTCTGCTGTTTTTCCACTTCCCTTGCCTTTTCTTTAAACTGGAGTTCATTTGTGTTGTGTCACTGTGTTGTGCTGTTCCCAGAGTCTTTTTAAGGCTCATGTGTAAAAACAACACTATTTTTAAATGATATTTCTTCTCCGTAATTTTTTTCATTCTTATGCAGGTATAGTGAAAGCCATCTTGACATTTCTAAAAAGTTGTTTTGTTTAAATTACAGAGTCTCCATGGCGACTGCATCGTCTCAGGTTCTAATTCCTGAAATCAACCTCAACGACACATTTGACACCTTTGCCTTAGATTTTTCCCGAGAGAAGAAATTGCTAGAATGTCTGGATTACCTTACAGGTATTGTCTTTGTGTGTTTGGGTTTTTTTAATGTTGTGTATATTCAGTGAAACAAATACTTTGCCACCAGATCCATTCCCTAAAAACCAGAGATGTAGGCTTCTGATTTAGGAGTGGAGTCTAATATTCCCGGAAACGATTTCCAGCCCTTTTTTTCTTCAACCAAAACAACATAGTCCAAGACTAATTGGGGATACAGGAAAAAAGCGAATGTTGATCATTAAAAGCATACTTAGCACCATTTCCGTCACTCTCAGAGTGTGGGTAACACAAATAATAGCCTTGTTGGTCATGAAAGAGATGCATAGGGTAGCATGGCTATTTTCCATTTCATGTCAGTGTGGCATCTCACTCTACAGTGCTTTTGCAGAGAAAAAATGATAGCTAACTTTGATAGCTAACATCACCCTCCTCCAGCTCTTTGTATTCACAACCTTGTTTAATCAACGTAACTTTGAATTGAGGTAGAATATTATAATCCTCATTTTGCAAACGATGGGGGTCATTCATCTTGCTGGAGGTCAGATAGCTAGGGAGTAGCAGAAGCAGGATTTGGCTCCAAAGACCTCTGCTCTTTCTAGTAAAAAACTGAATTTCATCTTGGCAAAGGTCACCATGGCAAAATCCTCCAAATCACGTTTGAATTCCTTGGGCCGTGTTTCAATCCTGTGC